TATTGCAGTGCTATTTCATATTTGCTTGTGACAGTTTGATAATTAACTGTCTCCTTCCATAAGACTCTGAGCTTTATGAGAACAGGGCCCACGTGTGTCTTTATTCAACTTTGTAACCCCAGCATCTTCCATAGTTCCTGGCACATAACAGCGGCTCAGTAAATATTTGTTGGATGATGGATTAATTAATTATAACATAAGACGACCTCATGAAACCTTCCCATCGTGTGCTGGGCTGGGGGAAGTTGGTGACCAAAAGATGAATAAGACACATTTTGGGGAAGCACATTTGGATCATTTCCCTCCGTAATGTTTTTGACAGAACGATTGCTGGCCATTGGTGAAGAGTTCTGCTTCCTGCTTTTTGAACTGACTGAGCTCCCTGGACTGTCGTCTGTCTGAGTTGAACAGATGCATCACAGAGCTCTCTATTGTTTGATATTATTTTACATAGGCCTCATGATGCTGACTGTTTGAGAACAAAAAATTGAGGGTTCCCCACAAAATGAATCATTATTCTGGTTATCACTTAGAGAAACTTATAGCTCTAAGGATTGCTTTATATTCCAACAAGGCAAAAATTGATTTAAACCTTTAGATGCTAACTGAGCTCTTAAATCTTGAGCTTCCTGCATACCAGCTGGTATTTGTTGAGGTAAACAAGCTCATGGTCTCAACCCTATATGAAATATGTGGGGAGTGGAATTCATTTTTATGGTTGCCTCAATTTTGTAGAATTCACTGCTGATGAAAGTCCATGAAGAACTGAAACCTGAGAAAAGGTCACCTTTGGTATCCATTCATTCTCTTCATTGTTCAGCATTTTCAGGAGCGGACTTGGCTTATTTTTCTTTTTTCTCTCTTGGAGGTTCATAAGGAGAATATATTTTATTTAAAACCAAATGTTTCTGATCTTTGTCTTTCTCTCTTTTTACCATGTCTATCACAGGTGATTAATTAACAAAGGAATTGAAATTTCTGATTAAAAAAACAACTTAGGTTACTTATGTATGAATAGAATGCATATACTTGATTTTTTAAAAATATCGTCATGCTTTTATAAGTTCAACAGCTGTCATTTCTGAAATCAACAGTGATCTGTCAGTGGGGCACAGCCATATCTCCTGCCCATTCTCTTGGACCTTTCTCTCTTCTACCACTTTCTCTCTTATTTTTCCCTTTTGTTCATCTACTTAAAATATATCCTTTCCATCTTCCCTCTTTCTTGTTATTATATTATACTCTAACACTGTCATTGTAAGTGATGAAGAGACAAGAGCAAAGAAAAGGACAGGACAGATAACTCTACCCTCTGGATTTATTTTAGGATATTTTAGAATATAAAACTCCAGGAAGTGTGCTTTTAGGTCAGTGAGTAGTCTGAGCTACATACAGATATGGTTTTCTTTCCTGGGTGATATCACATCAGAGTAGTCACATACCTGCTCCCTACCTGCAGTGGACATCGGCAGTGCCCCGCTCTTACGCCAGAACTATCCAGAGTGCTCCTGTTACTTCCAGCTATCTTTGTCTGTGTCAGAGGGTACTTTTATGTGAGAGGCATGCAGCGCCTCACTGCCTGTGGCAGGCTGTAGATGCCAGGAGAATGATACCCAGGGGTTCCCTCCACCATTGATTTCCAGAAGTTGATGTGTAGATACCCCAACTCCTTCACTCCTGGGGTGGGATAATTCTGGGGCCTATGTTTACTTCATTTCCCTGAGTTTCCTATGGATTTAGCTTCAGTTACCTAGTAATATATCCCTTTAATGGCCCCCTCCTTTTCCTGACTCACGTCCTTACTGGTGTTGCCTGCATTTCTCAAATGAATTACATGCACTCAAATCCTATTCTGTAAGAACCCAAGCTAGGCACTAACTAATGATTTAGAAATACTAACTGGGAAATTAGGCTGCAGAATGATATTTTGCAGAGAACCACATTCGAAAAACCTTGACTTTTCACACCAATGCCCTTCATCTTCTGCCTTCACCATTTTGGAGATCTCTACTTCCTACATTCCCACTTTTGCTGCCATCTCCATTGCTCCCTCTTCTCTTTAGTTCTTCAAACAACTTGGTTTGCTCTATCTTGAAAAAGGTTTCCACTTGTCTGTGCAATGCCCTTCAGCCACGGTTCTTTAAATTTCCTTCCGTGCCCTGTCAAGCGCCCAAATAAGCATCTAAGAAAATTGCCTCTATTTTCTCTCTTCATTTTTTGCTTAACCACTGACAATTTGGGTGGCATCGTCGCACTTTAGTCAAACAGCTCTCAGGTCCCCACTAACAACCTTCTTATTACAAAATAGAGAGGTCCCTTTTCTGTTCTTTTGTCATCTCTGTTACCATTGAACATATCGACAAAATTTCCTTCCTGAAAATTGTGTCTTGAGTAATTGAATTCTTAGAAATTTAGCATTAGGTGGGACATTTAGTCCAACTCTTTCATTTTACATCAAGGTGAAACTGAGGGCTAAAAAAGGTCTGGCGATTTGCCCAGCAAGGCGCAAAAGCGTAAAAGCAGAGCTTTGAATACAGAGTTTCTGACCTACCAATCCAGTATGAGAACTGCTTTTGGTAAGTCCTTATCTGAAACTTTCAAGTATTCCTAATTTTTATCCCTTCCTGTGTAAAGGTCTCTCAGCTGGTCTCCCAGCTCCTTACCACCACAGCTCATTCCCCATTGCGGCAGTCACGATGTTCCTAAAATTTTAATCAGAACCTATCACTCCCCTGCTTAGCCTCCAATTCCTCTTTTCTGCGCTCAGAATAAAATCCAAACCCATTCCTATGCCTTTCAAGAGCCTCCATGGTCCAGCTCTCTTGCTGATCACATTTGCTACTGTTTGTACTCTTTAGTCACTATAAGCCCATCGCATGTACTCTTCTCAGCTGTCCCACAAGACAAGCTTAGCCTAACCACTGAGAGTTTGCTTTACTGTCCTTCTCTTTGGAACGCCTTTCTCTCAGGCCATTGCATGACTGCTTCTTTCTCAACAGTTGGTCTCAGCTTAAATGGCCACCGCCTCAGACAGCCTTATACTCAAGTCACCATATTGAATATTGTCCCTAACATACCACCATCCGTCACATTATAATGTTTGATTTTTTTCATAGCATTTAGCACTACCTATAATTATATAATTTACTGATTTAATTTGGAGTTTGCTATGTTTCCCATCATTTGAAAGTATCTTCGTTGAGCTTTACCATATCTCCAGCATCTAGAAGAGTGAATGGCCAATAGTTGGAGCTCACTAAACATTTGCAGGATGAATAAATGAATGAATGACTTACGTCTGAATTTTTCTTTCTTATATCCAGGAATACTTCTCTCTTTTACTCTCCAATCCTACTCTTCAACCACTCTTTCAAAACAAAATTGTGTGTGTGCTATACTAATTGGTTTCTTCATAAACCAAAAAAGAAAAAACTTATTCCTGACTGGGAACCTTTGTTTCAGTTAACTCTTTGACCAAAAATCCCACTCTATGCCTCTCTAACTATTTAAGTTGTCATCACACTGTCAAAGCATAAGTCATGTTCCATTTCCATGAAATCACACCTCACAGTCCTCATTGACCACCCTTTCTTCAAGTTATGTAAAATAACTCTTGTGTTTTATAGAATCTAAATACTCATATATAATCTATATTATCTTGAATTATTTCCAGTTGTTTCATATAATGATATTTAGGCACTGTGCCTTGACACTTTAGATATGTGTGCCTTTGTGTGTGTGTGTGTGTGTGTGTGTGTGCACACGCGCACAGTCGAGCTGATCCTCATTATTTATAGATTCTGTATTTGTGAATTTGCCTACTCCCTAAATTTATTTTCAGTCCCCCAGATCATCACTTGCAGTGCTTTCATGGTCATTCTTGGACATTCGCAGAGTGGTGAAAATTTTGTCACCTGGCACTCACGTTCTCAGCTGAAGTCAAACAAGGCAACACTCTGCTTTCTTATTTCAGCTGTCATACGGTAAAAAAAAAAAAAGTCTTTTTTGTGCTGTATTTAGTGCCCCATTTTTCACGTTTTATGCTTTTTGTTTACTGTTTAAAATGGCCTCCAAACATAGTGATGAAGTGCTGTCTGGTGTTCCTACGTGCGAGAAGGCACTGATTTTTGCAGCGTTGTAGTTAGAATTAAATAGGGTGACGGAGCAATGTCACCTGGTTCTGTAGCACAAGGGTCTTGCTACATGCACAAAATGGATGAGATTTTCTTCCTATGATAATCTCTTGACATTTCTTTTTTTATTTTTCTCTTGAAAACAAGAGCCAGTCATGAAGCTCAAATGAACACTTCTCAACTTCTAAAAGAGCTGCCAGAGACAAGGTTGAGTGAGGTGCTTCCAACAAGGAGGCAGGACAAGATAATGTTGTATGTCTGCCTCAAGGCTATACTACAAATTTTGTGGTATTAGAAAAGGGACTGAGAGGTCCTTAAGAGCTGTGTCATTACTGAGCCAGAAGAACTAATTGGTTTTAGCTTAGAATTCTGAATTCTAAGAATTTATATCGAATTTACTATCATTTCAATATTTCTTAAATATTTTCCTTAAATTAATTAAATGACTTTAAGTCCAGTGATTTTAATGATCCGTTTGTGAGGAGCTAAACTGTTTGCTAATCAAGGTATGAAGGTTGATTCATTTTTCCCCCATTTAGAGCACAGCTGAATTCCATGGTGCTGATAAAAATAGATTAACCGCGTGATGCCATCAAAGGCTTTGTTGGCTAGGTCACTTCTCCAACTGACAGAGGATGTGTGCATTTGAAGATGGTGACCCAATGGCTTTGTCCTGCTAGGATTTATTTTAAAATATCTACTGTGTTTACTAATATAAGCACCACTCAGAATTTGTTTTAGGAAATTCTCTACCTCAGCCCTGGAAAGAATGCAAAAGCAATAGGGAGATTCCAAACTTTTCAGCCATAAACTCTTGCTTGTTTTTCAGTGGAGATTATTGAAAACAATAATTCTTTCTTGCTTCAGGAAAAACTGTCAGAGGATGAGAGAAAACACAAGGAAACTTTGGAAGATCTTCACATGGTAGTAGATGAAGATTCAAGAAGCGAAAGCAGCAGTGCAGATGAGGGGAAAGAAAAGACCAAATTGCTGTTAGAAAGATTGAAAGCTCTAGAGGTAAGAAATGAAACAATTTTTACACATTTAAAGAAAAAGAACAGTGCTCTGCTTCTTTCATTAGCATTGGCTTTGAGTAAGTATAAATCCTCCTTTCTCAGTTCTCTCAGTTCCTGCAGACTAATAGCATCTAGTCTCTCCCATTTTGATTACTTTGTTTATGACAAGCTTTTGCTCATCACTTGTAATGCTCAAAGAATCTTGACCTAGTGACTATAATTGCATTGTCTTAAAAAGAGTACGTAGGACAATAACTCATTTTAAATTCAGTTGAGCCCTCAAACTGGACCAGTTCCCATAAAATTGCAAGCCCCTTGAAGGAAAGGGCTATTTGATATTTTACTTTGTTTTCCCAATACCTAATGTAATGAATGAATCAGTGAATTAATAAAATATTCAATACTATGTAATAATGATTATAAAAAGATTAAATTTTAAGGATGAGAATCATTATTTCAAAAAAAAATCTGTGTAGAAGTTCAATGTGTAAAACATTAAAGTAGAGGTGAAGCTTAACTCAGTGCTTGAGGGAGGTTTTTGAACCACGACAGTTCTTCAAAACACAGTTTGAAACCACTGGTCTATTACTTAATGGCATTTGACATCAGTCCAAGTGTTAATTCCTGAATGTTTGTAGCAGTTTTTGAAGAGCATTCCAGTTATTGGTTCTTAATTGAGAGTTCACATGCTGAACGATTCAGCAAAGATGCCTTTTTCTATGAGTTGGCTTATCTTCTTTAAGTTTTCTGTTAGCATATAAAACTGAGAAGTAATTACTTTCAAGCAAGGACTATGGGTAGTCCATCTCTTCTTAAACTAGGTACAAGGGGCCTTCAGAACCTTGAAAAATATAGTCCTCCTATAGAGTCTACAGAATCCTGAAAACTTCAGTAATGTGAAGAAACAAGACCCAGCAATGACTTATTTTCTCTGCCCGATTCCTCTACTCCTGGAGGAATCCACCACATGGTCTATAGTGAGCATGCCCTTTTATTCTAATTTCCTGAACTATAGTAAAACAAAGTTGTTAAGATTATGGACTTTGAAGCCAGATCCCCAGGGTTTGGTTTAAATCCCAGTTCTATTACTTTCTAAGTTGAAACCTTGGGTGAGTTAATTAAGCTCTACGTGTCTCTGTTTCTTCAGCTGCAAAAATGGGGATAATAATGGTAATTTACCAAACAGGGAAGTAATGAGGATTAAATGAGTTAATATTTGTACCATGGTCTCCTCTAGCACTTACTCCAAGGCTCCTGCCTTCCCTTAAATAATTTTTTCCTGTTTATCTGGATACAGTGATCAACATAAGAACTATGAATGAAAAAAATTCAGCTACTGCACACTAGAGTGACTAAAGATTGGGAGGTTAAGCAAATGGTGTCACGAACGAGCAGAAGAGAGGTCAACTTAGGGAGCCTCTTGCAGCTCCCCTTTTGGGAAAATGGCCAGAAGTCATCCCTTTCTCCCAAAAGGTTCTCATACTCTTGTTATTTTAAGAGAATCACTGTCAAACGTGGGAAGGCTTTCTCAAGGGACACTGAGGTTTCTAAGAGTTTGAGGAAATTGATAGCTTTGTCTAGAGGTTAAATTAACTGGATTTAACAATAAGAATGAGTGGATATTACAATATCTTACTTCCCTAGAACCATGTACTGAATTGTTAGTTTTATTTATGATTACAATGAAAATTGCTCTTAGTTCACCTACTTGTTACTGAGACAACTTTGTGAAGGATATTTTATTTAATCAAGCCAAGAGGTATTTTAGAAATATCTTTGGTGGTGAATGTTTCTTAAACCCTTACTGAGTAAAAGAAAAACAGTATTTTTTTTTTTCTTTTACAGAGGTCTTTATACTTTAGTCAACAATTCTTGCATCCAGCATTAGTTGTATGCAATAGATGATCTCTCTAAGTGCCATTAAGTCCCAACATTTAGGTGTGGTGTTTTCTATGTTTTTTAAGTTTAGATTTTAAAGGTTGCTATTTCAGAGACTGCTTACTCAGAATAAAGATCATCATTTTCTACATGTCACAGCCTCCTTCTATCAAAGGACTCCTCCTCTCTCTACCTCATCCCATACCACTGATTCAAGGAATCTTCCCAGGCTCACCCTCCATGATTCATTGACTTGACCTGTGTGTTTCCTGTTCTCTACTCCTAGATTTTGTCTCAGGCCCCAGTTTTGTTCATGGCACATGCCTTGAAGCACATGATTTGCTTGTTTCTGCGCCTTCCTCCCTACATCCCTATCGGCACTTTCTCCCCACTTATTGACCAACTTCCTACCTGACTAAAAATGAAGATGATATCCACTTAGCTCACCCTTAACTCTCACAGTATCTCTGATTCCTAGGCTCTAGCCAAGGGGAGAACAGGCCTGAGACCACCAGGGAGTTCTAGCCTCCACATAAATGCCGATGCCTTAGCTATAGCCTCAAGATCAGAAGAACTTGGTGTCTTATAGTAAAAACTTTTTTGTGCAGAAAAATATGGCAATTAAATATGTAAAAAGCGAGCAAGAGCTTTTTCTACTCAGTTATATCTTGCCATGAAAGTATGACAATTAAAGTGCTAAGCATGATCATTTTTGTTAATCAGTGATTCCTGTCTAAAATGGGATAGATTAGAATAGTAATTATCAAACCTGGCTACGCATTACAGTTATATGTTGAGACTGCAGTTAATAGATATTTATTGGATATCTTTTATAGGCTAAATGCTGTTCTAGACAGCAGGACTAGATCAATTTTCATGGTTCCCCAACCTCAGTGAACAGAAACAAAAAAGAACATATTTAAATAAAATAATAAAGAAGCAAAGAAACAAATAAATAAACAAATAAGTGCCTCTGAATAAGAAAAATTAGGTGATATAGTAATAGAGAGTGGGAATGGAAATGGGACAGGTATTTACTTACAATGGCATCTGGGCCATTTAGATACAAAATAAATAAGATAAAGGAGATAGTTGAGTGCAGATCTGAAAGAAGAACAAGAAGAAACTGCACATGTGGAAGCCCAGAGATGGTAGAAAGCTTGGCAAGTTAGAGAAACAGAAGTAAGAATTTTGTCTTGCAACAGAGGTATAAGATTAAGAAACTAGAAGAAAATGAGTTGAGAGAGGTAGACAGGGGACAGACCCTGTGAAGCCCTACAGGCCACAGTCTTGGTAAATACTTTGGATATAATTATAAATGTGAAGGGAATCCTTAGAGATTTTTAACTAGGCAAGTAACATGATCTGACTTGTGCTTTAGAAAAACAATTCTTGCTGCTTTATGGGCTAATAGCAAAACAGAAGTAGAGGTAGGATGACCAGATAGATATGAGGTTGTTTAGATTCTAGATGAAAGGTATCAGTGTTTTGGTCTAGGGTGGGTACCTAGGAATAATAGAGAATACTAATAAAACCATATAATAATATCATTGGACTGGTGAGGAATAATGATGAATGTGTTGGCAAGCCCTTATATACGGCTTGATATGCACTAAGCACTTTTCCAATTTATTTATTTACACACACACACACACACACACACACACACAAACACACACTATTTTAATCTTCCTAACAACCCTGTGGGATGAGATAGATGTGATTGTTATCAAACTCATTTTAATGACAAAGAAATTGAGCTCCAGAAAGTTTGCATAACTTGTCCAGGGCACATAATCAGTAAGAATGAGAGTCAGAATTTGAACTCCAATTGTATGGTTCTACTATGCTATGCTGGTAGGAAGTGGTCAAGTAAAAATATATTTTAGAAGTAAAATCGACTGGAATTAATGATAAATTGGATGTGAAATATAAGAGAAAGTGAGAAATCAAGGACGATTTCTGCTTTTTTGACCTTAGTAACTGAGTAGGGGGTTGTACTAAATTTTTGAGGGAGGAAAGGCTTAGAGGAGAGGTGACTTAGGG